ATGCCGACCAGCGAGACTGAAGCAGGGCGAGGCATTGGCCTTGCACCTGGGAAGCGCAAGGGAAGGGAATCCCTTTTCCGTAGCCAGGGAACTCGACGACGACACAACACCTGGAATCAAGGTACTCCCACCCCGAATACTGCGCTTTAAAGCGGAACAGGCCACACCAGGAATCATTATCCCACACGGCCGGGAGGAGTCCCACACCCCACGGAGCCTCCCTTCATGCTAGCACAGCAGTCTCGTGATCTACCAGGCAAGGCAGCAGCGAGACTGGGGAGGGTGCGCCCCGCCATTGCTGAGGCTTAAGTGAGGTAAAGCAAAGCTGCTGGGAAGCTCGAACTGGGTGGAGCTCACAGCAGCTCAAGGAAACCTGCCTGTCTCTGTAAGACTGCCACCTCTGGGGGACAGGGGCACAGGATAGCAACAAAAGCAGCAGCAATCCTTCTGCAGACGCAAACGACTCTGCTGACAGCTTTGAAGAGAGCAGAGATTCCCAGACACTGAGTGAGATCTGAGAAGGGCACAGATGCTGCTCAATGGGTCCCCTGAACCCCTTGAAGTAGCCTAACTGGGAGATATCCCCACAGGATTACACCCACAACCTCACAGGGTGGAGTACACCCCTGAGCAGGAAGCCTCCAAAGCAAGAATCAGACAGGTACACTCGCTGTTCAGCAATATTCTATCTCTGCAGCCTCTGCTGCTGACACCCAGGCAAACAGGTCTGGAGTGGACCTCAAGCAATCTCCAACAGAGCCTACAGCTGAGGGTCCTGGACTGTTAGAAGGAAAACTATCAAACAGAAGGACACCTACACCAAAACCCCCATTCAGTACGTCACCATCATCAAAGTTACCAGATGGCAGATAAGAACCACAGAAGATGGGGAAAAAGCAGGGGCAGAAAAAGCTGGAAATTCAAAAAATAAGAGCGCATCTCCCCCGGCAAAGGAGCGCAGCTCATCGCCAGCAACGGATCAAGCTGGACGGAGAATGACTTTGACGAGCATGGAGGAAGAAGGCTTCCGTGCCATCAACACTTCTCAGAGCTAAAGAGGAATTACGTACCCAGCACAAAAGAAACTAAAAATCTGAAAAAAGAAAGTGGAAGAAGTTGGATTTTGGCTAGAGTAAGTTAATGCAGGAAGAAAGGTCCTAAACGAAATGAAAGAGATGAGAAACCATGACACGAGAAAAATACGTGACCACAATGCACAAGCTTCATAACCCGACTCGACTCAACTGGAAGAAAGAGTATCAGCAATTGAGGATCAAATTGAATGAAATTGAAGCGAGAAGGAGAAACAAAAAAAAAAG